CTCGTTCTTTTAGCAATTTTCAATACAGGGCTTCGCCACCCACTAAAAGTCTTGCTCAAAGGACATTCTGGTTGACCCCCGATCGTACGTCAGCTTTTCATCGAAGGCAATAAAGTATGCCTAAAAGAGCATGCTCAGCTTTTCTCAAGAAAGTGAACGAACATTGCCGCAAACCGCCAATCCTTAAAGAAATGAAAACGAAAACGAAAATTACCTACTAACTTATGGAACGATGTGATACATGATAGTTAAAGATTTGAATGTTTCTGTAGAGCTAACACAAATGATCAATACTTACATAATATTTGACTAAGCCACTTCTCGTATCTTCGCCCAAAAAGAACAGAAGGAGTAACACAAGTTTACGGTGAGAAATAAGAAATCCATGCACTAGAAAATGGGCTTTTTGCTCGAGTTACCAAGACTTGCAGGCAAGTGCGCTTTGTATGATCTTACAAGAGCGAAATCCACTAAGATTCTTTAAGAAATGATAGATGTAAATCCCTGAAAAATTCCTGAAACATTGCTGAGCGGGTTTGATACCAATGGGCGGAGCTGGTGCACGGTTGGAGGCAATTGTTGCGCTTGAAAGTTGAAACTATTTTGTTGGAACGCCTGTAGTAGTCAGAAGGTTTTTCCTTCAAGACCTCTGCGAACAGACATGGACAGATCATATATCGTGCAAAATTGATGCACCCATTTGGAGATCCACCACAGTTGATGGAAAGTTCTGCAGCTTCTTTCTCCAATCGCTGTATCGCACATCAGGTTACGGTAATCCGGGATTGTTTGTAAGCCAGTGCAACAAAGCTTTGATTCGAAGAGCGTTAAAAACTTTTTATCTCAAATGAATTAACGTGGCTTGAGCGTCTTAAAGAAAATATTGGAAAACTTTTCAATTTTTCGCAATCTATTAACCCTGACCTTGGTCCAGGACGCCGTGGAAATACAGGGCAAGTACGTTCTAATCTGGGCACGATCGCTGTCAGACACCGCAGCAAAGATGAAGGAAGAACAGCCAAGATGAGGAAGAAAGGAAAAAAAGAAAGCTAAGAACATGTTGGGTGCCTCCTATTCAATAATATCAGGCAAGTAAATATGTAACTATTTAAAAATAGCCCTGACAATGTCATATCAAATTTCAAGTTCTGCATGTCTTTGAAAAGTTCTATACAGAGATGGCATGGGTTCACAATCATATGAATCATGAAAATGTTGCGAACCACTTCCAAACCTTCCGCTCCGCCCCCTTCACCCTAATACTCGTTTTCTCTCTATCTTTGATATTGCAATTTGACACAGTTTCCTTTTTAATTCCTCAGTGCTTAGAAAGCACGGTCAGCAACCTTAAAAGCAGTGTCAAAATCTCGCTTTCCGTTTTCACCTTTTCGGGGCTTTCCTGTCATGCTGAACACCCATATCTGGGCACAGCGATGGCGAAAATGAGCTCTTTTTTTCAAAGCTCTCCATGTCCGCACTCGCTGCAAAATGCGTGTAATTAGGCAGGGTCCGGAACGGGGGTGGAGTCCGGACTTTCAAAGTTGACTTCAGGATTCCCAGACGTTCTTCTTCGTTCCAGATTTCATCGATAGATTAGATGAAGGGCTTGCCACTACAATGATTCAAATTCCTGTGACCATTATTTTGCTGGAACGCTGCCTTCAAAAGTGATCTGTTGAGTGCGCAATCAAATTTCTAGGTTCCGAAGTAATTATTTTAACTCAAATAAGAGATTTTGAATGGCCAAATGGGCATACATGCCGTTTATAGTTTTGAAAACCCATCGCACGACTATCGGCTCTCCCTCGGATATTGACTTCGCATTAGTCTCAACCTCCGAAAGATTTTCAGAATTTAGCACTCATCGATTAGACACGAGAAGTCGACCATCTAATTTCTTGTTATCGTCGTCGCGGGGTCCCGTCCCGCTGCTGGTCGGATGGCTTGCTGTATTTGCGTAGTGACACAAGGGTTTGATGTTTGCTCACACTGCCCTCACCGCACCGAGCTGGAACACCTGCACTGCACCATCCGCATCGATATTCGTATACCTCGCGCACCTTTTCGAATACATGGAAACCGATGTCAATCTGGCTAACCTGGAGGAGGGGGAGGGGGGGGGGGGGTGATGAATTTTGCGAAGATGTCGCTCAACTTCTATCTCGGCTCTTTTTGTTGCGTCAGTTTTTTTGTTTGACACCTATTCTAATTTTCCTCCATGAATACGACTCCTTCTTTATCCTCAATAAGACCGGAAGTTCCGCTGGACATGGAAACTGCTGCGGAAGTTTCCGCTTTTCATCACTTGGCGTTATATTTCTGCGGAAGTTCCCATTTTAGACAATTGCACTTTTGTAATGAACACAATTTTGTGGAACCACTGCAGATCTTGCTAGACCTGCGGAATTTCCCGTGTGCCTTCTGAGATCGAAATGAGAGAAAATCTGTCAATGAGTAATTTTGTTCTCTTTGAAAAAATCCAAATTTAATCTTTTTCCTTGAGTAAAGCTGAGTGAAAAATCTTCTGCTTGTCTGATTTGTTTACTTACGAACTTAAAACCTCCAAATATATTTTTAGAATCCCACATGACATTTGCACTTCTCAAATCTAGTTCCGCTCGATAAGTCTTTGTTTAAATCGAAGAAATGGAATTTTCCCTTTTCGCAATTCTCACTCCCTTCTGCACCTACTCTCCCCAAAGAGTTCTGCAACAATAATCCCATTGTTGAATATAGCTTTGCAAACTGTAAATCTGGAGTCTTACGGTAGGTACACTTTTCTGATACGGTAGCGGTGCTATAATACCTGAGATTGATGAATCATCCCTTGTCTTCTTCTTTGATGATTTTTTTTTACTTTTTTATTTCTCTGGTATGAACAATTATAAACTAAGGAATTCCCCCTTCCCGCTCTCTCCTATCCTGTTCCTACTTCCCCTTTCTCCTCTTCCTATTTTCATCTCTGTAGTGATAATGGAGCCAAATCCATAGCCCGAAAATGATTCATACTCATATTTTCACACGATAGCATCAGAATTGTCCGATTTGCATTTCCCCCACTTGCTGCTCGATTTCTAAACGGGCATTCCAAATAGCATATATTCATGAATTTTCATAGCCCCCAACGCATTTTGGCTCTGCCATATTCAGCAGAGTAGTCGCTAGCTTTTTCAATTGTATTCTATGGCAAAAATTTCAAAAATCCAAATTTTACGATGATTTGCAAGGCCCCCTTTCATCCACATCTGGCAGCTCGTTCTTTCGCACTTTTCGAGGCCTCACTATTTTTTATTGTTTCCGCCAAAGGTACTTCTCTATTTTTTCTATATTTGAATGTCTCTGACTCGACGATTTGTTCGAATGCTTATCTGGCATCGATTGGTCCCGTTATCATGCTTCCCGACGCAGTTTGCTGAATCACCGCCTTTGGCAATAGTCCGTCCACATTTCCGTCCCGCACTACGGGGAGAAAAGAGAGAGAGGGGGTGAGTGTGGCGAAGAGCAAATCACACTCTGTTGCGATGTGTTGCTTAGTCAAACGACAAAGAAGACGCATTCTCCCACGCTGCAAAAGTAGAAATCGCTTATTGAGTGTTCTGAAATACAAATATGATTTAACTGTCCCTATGGTCTGGTTTACTTCTTCAATTAACTCTTTTTTGCTATCAATATAATTTATTAAAAATATTCCATCATGAAAAATTGAATATTCGTTGCTTTCCTTACTGCTGCTTTCTCCATGCTGTAAAAAAAGACTCAGCGAGCTTTTATACGGCCTTATTTTCTCTTTTAATCAATTCTTTTTCGCTTTGAATATAACTCTATAGAAAAACCTCTTACCAATCATACTACATAAAATCTCTATTTCTTCGCGCATGCATTCTCCATATTGAACAGAAATTTTATAAATGCTTCTGACTTGTGAGCATATTATGTACAAGCAAGTCCCTCGATCATTTTTCCCTGTTTTAGTAGAGGAAGAAGATATTTGTTGTTTGCGATATTTTGAGGTGTTTTTTGTAAATTTTTGAGCAAAAATTGCTTATACCTCACTTTGACCGCCCTTAACTCTGGATTAATTATAGAATTCCTTATCAGCGCGATAATTGCCACTTATGTTGGTCTAATTGCTTGTCTCATGCCACTTTTTGGTGCCAAGAATTATTTTCAGCACACCTTCTATCTTTACTATTTTTTATCGCTTGAAAATTTTTCCACTGATGCTTATTGATATCCTTAATGCCATTTTCTACACGACTTTAATATTTTTTGATTTTTAAGTTTTAAGACTAAATAAGACTTTTGATTGTCGCCTTTTCACTGATGTACTGCACTCACATATCGCTAGCGTCTGCTTTTGCTTATCAAACAGACCTTTATATCGTTTCTGTACTTTTTCATTTCCGCTCGCTATCTATGTATCATGCATCCAAAGGTGAACCGCTAAATTTCGCAAATTTTTGCAAAAATTTTGTAAAATCCTCTTTTATTTGCTGATCTCTTCTGGCCTTCCCGCATTTCGATGTCAACAAGATGAGCAACCAAATGATTCACAATCATTTGAACTTGTTTGATTGCTAGTATATAACTCCAAATAAGCCATATTGATCGCAATAAGTCAAAGAGAAAATGTACACGGAAACATAACGTCATTTCCAAATGTAGTACTATACGAATTTTTGTGAGAAAGAGATTTTTAATACATCAAGAGTAACTTCTGAATTTGTGTGAAGTTCCTGCTTTTAAGAGACGATGTTTATTTTCTTGACTATTTTATTTCGTAAAATATAGAGGCGTGTTATTATACTCATTAACAGTTGCTATTGAAATATTCTAATCAGTACTGCATTAATTTTTGTTTTGGACAACAATCTGTAATTGCTTTGCTCCTCTTCACTATTCACTAAGTTTCGATTATAATATTTTGGAAATATTTCCCGCTTCATTCGATTAGCCTGATGTTTTATGACGCAGAATACAAAATGCTGATTTTGTTTTGCAGAATACATGCGATTGCGGCTATCGCACGTCGCACTTGTGGCGACATTTGCTGCCTTTGGTGAGCTTTTATATTAGTAAATTTAACAATTAAAACTGCAAAAAAATATTTTTTGCTAGAGGGGTTTATAAGTATATTTTCCCTCCTTTTCAGTGTACTATACTGATGCACAAGCTCTAAACGACCCTATTACCCAATACATCGAAGGCCGATTAGGAAATCGACGGATTTTTTGGTGCCCTAGTGGATATGGTAAATTTTTCTTCTTTACTATTTTTACCTGTATCTTGTTGTTCCGGTCACTTCATTGACCATTGACAGCCATGATAATACCGACAATTAACGGATTAGCATCATCGATCCAGAGAGCTGAACGCCAGCTCGGCACACCTCGGCAACAAATAGATAATTTGAGGAATTCAGGGTATTTGGCGTATTGTCCGCAACCGACTGATTGGGACAACTATAACTGGTGCTGTACATGGCCCTATATGGGATCATGGAAGCCATCATGTTGTCCGTTTGCTATTCCAACAGGGGCTGTGGTGGCTATCATCATCGCGGCTATAGTGCTTCTTGCAGGTGGGTAGAATTTTTGGGATTACGATATGATCAATGTAGATTGGTTAGGTGTACGGTGCGGGCTATCATAAACTTCATCCTGCCACAAACACTCAGAGAGCATTCTGTAAGCAGTATGTAGCAATACCTCTAGAAAAACCTATAGCTGAAAGAATTGACTTTTTTACTTCAAGAAAATCGATAAATTTCAACTCTTCTGAAAGTTTTCTCAAATGCCAATACAATTCGAATAGCGAAAGAAAAGTAACTTTGCGAACTTGCTTCAGGGCAAAAATTACTTAGAAAAAATTGAAAATGGAAAGATTTTGGTTTTTTCTAGGTAATAAATACTATGTGTGGCCTCTGCTTCTCCCCGCTTCTAAAAATCAATATTTCCTACCGTACAAAAGGTCATTCTTCTGTTTTCACTCGCAGTCGCAACTGGCTTTCGCCACTGTTTGCTTACATCGGTGCTCATCTATACCTCTGCGCACTTTCCTCGTGAGACTACTGCTGCGCTCGATGGAATTTGTGAAAAACAGTGGGAAAATGAGTCATTCATCCAAAATGCGGGGGATGAGAGTAGTTCCACATGAGGAATCGCGCCTTGAACTAGTAACTTCGTAGCGATTTTTGCAGCAACTGACAAGGAAAGAATACTTGGTCACCGCGGCCATTCGTTATGATTTGTGTATCAAAAAATGCGCCTTTTGATGCTGGTTCGGATACTATCTTCCATATCTCGAAACGATCATCTGGATGGAGTTATGGTTATTTCTCTATGAATAAACTGCGTTACTGCGGAGGTCAAAATCATCAATAAAAATTTTCTTCTCTTTCCAAATGCTGAATATAATTTTGAAGGTATATTACAACAGTATTCCTTTTGAGATTCTTCAATAGCTTCAAATGGTAACTTAGAACAAATTTGGTGATTTTAACTACACAAAAGTACGCAAATTTTCTACGAAAGAAGTTCATAACTTCCTTCAGAAGATCGTTTCGCAGATATCGAGCACAGATTTGGAATCAGCGTTTCGAGGTGCATCTTACACCATACATCGCATTCCAAATGGCTACGGTGACCGAGTATCCTTTCCTTGTGATGGAAGGCACTAAACTGCTGAAACAAATAATCTCACCGTAGTGCCTTTAGTTAGTAAAATCACTTAGAAAATGGAAAAGCCAGCATATAGAAGCAAAAATGCGAAAGCAATGAAAAATTTTTGCGGAAATTGCGCACGACACCACACCTCACATTTTGTGACTCCTCTATATTACAGCTGTTTCCAGGTAAGGTCTCCTGTAAATGAAAACCTTCTGAATTTTTTTTTGGAAAAGAGAAGTTTGTTGCTTAAACTTTTGTTACTTCTCGAAATGGATAAATGCAGAACAGTTTCTCTCCCACACTTGAATTTTATCGCCTGCCTTTGATGGTGCATTTGCACATGAGGACTCCCCGCATGAGTATGACTGTGCACTCAAAGCATTTTTATCCTCTCAAAATTATAGATCATATATTCTGGGTTCTGAAAATCACGTAGAACTAATCTGCCTTGATCTGCAAGATACTCTCCAATCTTGTAGTGATTTTCGTGATTATCCATATTTATAAAAACCTGACAAATTTTCGAACGACTGTTCGACGTCCTTATGCTGTAATTGAAAAATGTACCACAACCAAAGTAGGGTAAGCTTTTGTAGGTTTTGACATGTGTTGCAGTACTATCAATAATGATACTGATGAAATGAGACAAAAGGAGAACGAGATTTGAACAATTAAAAAGCTGCATACAATTTCCGAAACTCAGAACGTTGGCATAAATTTTCTTTAATACATGAGCAATTACTAGGCTTGACAAAGTGATTTCAGAGAGTGGCATTGACGTGAAAAAAATGACTCAACTCAGCAGTTAATTTTTACATTTTCTCTAATGTTAATGTACTTGTTTGCAGTGCTGATCGGATTGTCTTGTTGGTGCTGCTTTTGCTGTCCACTGTACAAACAACTATACGAATACGAAGAAGATTAGATGAATTGCTGAAGTTTCCATCAAAGCCTATATATTCTAGTGCACTTGACGGCTGACAAAGTACTTTTGCGGTGCCAACAAGATCTGAGCGTAAATATTGTCCATAAACCCAATCTATCGAATTTCGATCGTTTTACGCGCAAATATTGTCAGCACACAGACAAAACAAACCAACCGCCAAAACTACTAGATTATAATTACCCCCAATGTCCCCCATCTCCATCTACCACATCAGCCATATCGGATGCTCTTCAGCTTCCCGATGCTTACTTCTCGAGATCTTCGAGCATTTCCTCTTTTAGGAAAGCTTTTATCTCTTTCATGTGCTTCACTTCATCTCACTTAATCTATCCAAATGTACTTACTATGACAGCATTTTCAGGAACGTTTAGGGCTACATTGTAAGTATGATCTGGATCACTTCCTGTTTTTTTGTGCTCAGACATTGTGTGCTTTGTTTGTTTGTTGACAGCTGCCACCGAATCACTCGGACTTGATCTTATATAATGTCCTTTAACTCATCTGAGAGTTTGATCTAGTTTGCAGGACCATTGTGATATGCCTTGTGAGCGCTTGTTCACAGTTAAACACTATAAGTATGTGCAATGTAAGATTTATCGACGAATAAATATATTTGGAAACTCTGTGTCAATAATTATTCTAAAAAATGGCAAATACAGTATCTGCTAGGGAAATGAGGTATTCTAAAAATCACGCTCAGCATTTGTGAGATCTAGTCAATGAAAAAAGTAGGAAAGCAATTTTAACATACCCTATCTTCGTATAAATCACATAAATGAAGTCAAAAATGACTAATTGAGCAAATGTGCAAATAAGGCGAAGCTTTACCATTCCAAAACTAACTTCCCTTTGCCATGCATTTGTAAAACTTTCTCGTACGCAGCTGGCAATTCTCCAAATGGTCGTACCTGCTCCACTATTGGTTTTATCTGTAGTAAGTAGAAATTATTTGTACAAAACAGAAAAACAAAAACCAACCTTTCCGTCAGATGCAAATTTTGAAAGTTGCTTCATGCATTTCTCGCTGGGTATGAAGAAAGCATAAGTGAACCATCGACCACGCAGAGCACTCTGGAAATTTGATGAGTGCAAAAATATTTTGTCGAGATGTTATATTACACAAGTTTAGAGCAGAGAACCATTACTCACTTCAGCGCTTCGTGACATATACTTGATTGCGGTGGATATCATGCCTTGCACAAATCCATGGCGATCGGTGTCTCGCAACATAGGACTAACTATACTGACGTGAACGCAATTCCGCCACACGCCGAGCACCTATAACACCCTTCTGAAAAGTGTTGTAGACGTTAACAATTTTACTTTCGTTTTCAATGAACATAGGTGATATTTTGCATGTGGAAATCAGGCACTGACACTATTTTGAATAGGGTTTTTATGAAGCTTTAAGAGGTAGACGAGTCGGTGGAAATCTTTGATTTGCCGCTTTTCAAGGTGTTATATTGATACTGCGTGAAGAAACTTTACATGCATTATATGGCATTGGTATAGAGGACGCCGAAAAAATGTTTTATAGTCGATTGCACGAAATCGCCCGGGTCGCTATAGAGTAAACGCACGCAAGCGTGCCTGCAACGCGGCTGCCGAGTGGGCGCTATGATGACTCATGCGCGCGAATGCCAATATTAGCCCGCAAAAGACCCGCTCGCGGGCGTACAGCCCGGTCGATTCCATGCTGTCTACTATACGTACCCAAGGCAGATACGCCAGATGAAATTTTCATAAGACCGTGTATCATAAACATAGGTGCTACAAAAGAATTTACAATAGGAAAAGGGTCTGCATCACATGTCCCATCAAAAAAAGTAGAATTATTGCCATTTTTGATACTCTAATCAAAAAGCCGAAATCCGCATTAATGCTTTTTGTGGGTACTGGTGGCAAGGAGTCGGAAATGCGTCAGCATAATTGTGCAGGATCTATATTTTAATCACCTACCATGGCCATAATTCTACGTTTTGCTTAAGTATCTGAGCAATTTTTTCAGAAGATATTTGAAAAGCTTTTTTATGATGCTTCACGCATGGCTGAACGCCGTAGAAAGGAAGTACTGACCAGAGATTCAGAAATGTTGCTATCAAATGACATTTCCTCACTCTTTACATAGTCATAATTATGGACGCGATAAGCGGACTTCTTTTGCGCAGCAGCTAAGCCAACTGAGGGATATTCTTTTGGTAATTACGCGATTTCGGCTTGCTCGAGTGAACGTGCTCACTACCCACTCAGAATAGGCAACGCGTAGTCAAAGCAATATATGATTTCTGTCATAGAAAGAGCTAGAAAATCACGTACTTGGTCACTCCATCTCGCCAGATCTGAGTCGACACAATCCAAAATAACCTCGTATGGTCCTTCTTCGATAAGCTGATCACGAGCGTCAGGGTCGCGATAGTCAACAGTAATTGCACCAAGTTCGCGGACAGCATCGCTACTGAAAATGCAGCTTTTTGACGCAGAATCAGAAAAAAGTGACGTACCTCTCTTTAGAGCATGTAGCAACAACTTTATCGACGCCCCAAGCTTTGAGCAATTGTATTGCCATAGTACCCACACCTCCAGAAGCACCATGGATGAGAACTCTTTCTGCTGCAAACAATACAGTGAAGAAACAGACAGGATCAGTCGATATACCTACATGGTTTCTTGTCTGGATTCATTCTTGCAAAGAATACAAAAGCTGCATACGCAGTGCTGGCCACGTAAGGCATCGCAGCAGCCTGAGTGAAGTCGAGATTGGAAGGTTTCGGAGAGCAGCATGACTCCTCCGTTACAACATACTCAGCATGACTACCTTGCATGATGCCTGGCACTACTGCCATGACCTGAATGGAGACATCGAGATTACGAAGCAGTCGTTCTAATAGACAACCTCATCGCCAGGCCGCAGGCGCTTCACTCCGCCGCCAACGAGTTCCACTACTCCGGCACAGTCTCGTCCAGCAGTCAATGGAAACCGTTTCGCTTTAGGATCACACTCATCAAGCTGCTTCCATACACTTAGAATTTCTCGCCCATATCCTTTCGTCATCATAGGATCTATCGGATTCACACTGGCTGCCTGAACAAGTATATCTATACACAACCTACTGCTACCGCGTCAACAAGTTGAATCCCAAGAAGAAAAGTTCTTTAGTATCAAAAAGAGAACAAGAAGAGAGGGAAAATTAGGATTTTGAGATGGAAATGGATTTCAAAAAATTGTATACCTTGACTTTGATAAGGACTTGATCAGAGGCTGTAATGACCGGCTTGGGCACCATATTCAACTGCAATGGTTCCGCAGGAGCTTGCACCTGCCATGCACGCATCATAGCCTGCCGGGCAGCAGCGCCACAAGTTCGAGATATATGCATCTGTAAAATGATTATTTAAGACATCAGATAAACATTTTTAGAAACAGCTGAACGAAAGTCGAACATGACAAGAGGAGTGGAATAGGCTTACTGTCTGAAAGAACGTGTGCAATGCACTAATTTTTCGTGCAGTCGGTTTTGTAAAACCGTATGGTAATAATTAGATATTAACCTTGTTTAAGAGCGTTAGTAAAAATGCATTTTCAGGAGTTTAAAACCTAGAAAAATTCAAAAAATGGTATTAGCCTAAAGGTATGTTGCTGCAGCACCATGGCAGCGAACCTAGAAATCTTGTTTTGGGAAAGATGGGAAAGGAGGAAGGAGGAAGAGGAGAGCAGTCTTTTTGAGAGGAGAACATTTACTTCTAAAAAGCGTTGGGACCTAGAACTTGCTGTCCTCTGGCTACTTCTCGAAGCGAATGTCGCTCAAAACGCGCCGCCAAGGAGGGCGCAGTCAATGCATTATCTGCGTTAATGTCAAAGTCAAGTATGTACAAACAAACATTCTGCACAGTTTGTGTATGCATCTCGTTACACAAGGTGAAAATCATACGATAGGGCCATCGTTTGAATGCGATACGAACTAAAATCTTGACAGCAAAAACATTTATATTGTTTGTTTTCAATTGAAACTTTGCTACACTCCGGCTGTTGTGTCCAGACCGACTGCTGTTGTTCTGCAGATGTACTGCACCATGCTCTGTTTCTTGGGTGAAGGGATACAGTGTGATTGATGCAGTTCATCGCAGTGAAAAAAAAAGCAATAACTCGAAGTCGAAGCGAGTAATCAACATACAGCAATAACTAAAATTTCAAGGTCTTCTTGATCATGACAAAATAGAACAACTCTGGATGGCGGCATATTACTACAAGAATTCATAGGTGGTTGATTTTCTCATGGTCATAAACACGGAATAACTACTGAAATACAATTACACGCAAATAACTACCATGTCAACACAGTTTTGCCTCGTCCGTGTAGCTGAGATACCTTCTCAAAGGCTTTTGGCAGCTCTTCAAATGGAAGGACTCGCTCCACAATTGGTTTTATCTGGAGTACCAAAAGACTTTTTTTAGACTAAGAATTGTATGATTAATTCACCTTCCCTTCTGTTGCGAATGTTGTAAGCTGTTCCAAACATTCTCGACTTGGAGCGAAGTAGGCGTATGAAAACCATTTGCCGTGTAGAGCAGCCTATAGTGGAACGCCTGTCGTTAAGAAATCAGACAGTTGGAAAGTTCACCTTATAACTTCTAGCCATATACTTCAAAGCAGTACATGCCATACCGAGTACAACTCCATATCTGTCAGTATCTTCCAACATAGGATTTATCAGGCTGACATGAACACAACTGCCCCAGTCTCGCATAACCTTCAAGGGATTAACTTCATTGAAATGTAAATTGCATGCAGAAGTGTAAGAGCAGTCGCATAATGTAAAGACAGATGTCTCTATCGACGTTAATGATGAGAATAAAGCCATCAAACCATGTTAGAGGTTTTCATCCTCGAATAATTTTTTTCTTTGCAATGTCTGCAGTCTACAGTTTGAGGCGCGACCTCAAATCCCGTATTTCAAATTTGTTTCCTTCCATATACCGCTGATTTTTTAAATTCCGCATGTACAGCCTAGTATCTAGACTATCCGAAAAATGTGGGATCGCGGTGCCGAATCAGATAGCAAATTTGCGCGCGAACAAATAGAGCCACACTATAATGCCGGCATTTTGCTCCGCAGATAAATGTTTGCTCAAGCGCAAATTTGGGTGCCTAATCCTGCTACCAAAAGCATACTCTGTTAGCGAATCTACAGTCTGCCCCCAATTGGGATCAGGCTGACCCGTTCGCGTAGATACGCGCAGCCTGACGCAAAACCGTTGCAAAGCGTACCCTCGCCATGCCCCTTTTGGCTCGACTGAGAATGAGACAGACTACACTAAATTCTGAAAAGTATAAAAAAATCCATCTGTGCCAACACACCTCATCACTCCATCTCGCCAACTCGGTATCGACGCAGTCAAAAATCACATCGTATGGTCCTTGCTCTTTGATCTGATCACGAACACTTGCTGCTTTGTAGTCAACGGGAATTGCACCAAGCTTTTGAACGGTATCGACACTTGAAAGTTTTTCTAACGATGCATGCATAAGCAGTAGAAGATGTGAAAGCAACAAGAGTAGGGTCACCTTTCCGTCGAGCAAGTAGCGACAATTTTGTCAACTCCCCAAGCTTTGAGCATTTGTATAGCCATAGTCCCTATCCCTCCAGAACCACCGTGAATCAACACTGCCTTGGCTGTAAAATCATGATTGACATTGTTATAGGTGAAGACTGCAATTCTTACTTGATATTTTGCTCGGATTAATCTTTGCATTACCGACAAGAGCAGCCCAAGCGGTATTAGCGACGTAAGGCAATGCGGCGGCTTGTGCAAAATCGAGATTTTTAGGTTTTGAGGTGCAACAGGATTCTTCTGTCAAAACATATTCGGCATGACATCCAGGCAAGATGACTGGTATGACTGCCATAACCTAATTATTCATGTGAAATGACTTTTGCAAAAAAGGTTAGCCAACCTCATCGCCAGGACGCAACATCTTGACATCGTCACCAATTTTTTCCACAACACCAGAACAGTCTCTTCCAGTAATCAGAGGAAACAGGCTTGCTCCAAGGTTCCTTTCAGTAACTTGTTTCCAGACTCCAAGAATAGAGCGACCATATCCTTTCGCCATCCGCGTGTCTATCGGATTCACGCTTGCTGCCTGAATGAGGATGTCGAGATACTTGACTATTCTCATCTCGGGAGTTTTTGGTGAAAATCAGTTCTTGTTTTGAAATCGTGGCAGATGAAACAAATTATGGCTGCCTGGCTGCCTCACTTGGTACTCTCTGGACTTTTCCCAGCCTTCAATCGCTGCTCAAGCCCTGCGATAACCCGAAGGATACGCCTGCGAACGCGGCGCAAGGTCCGAACGAGACGGCTGCAAGGACCCGACCCGTCTTGAGACAACCTATAAACACTATTTCCAAGTTACACCATTCATATCACCTGGCATAAACCTTCCTCCCTACGCCCTAGGAGATGCCTTTGAAAAAATGCCTTCAAAAAAAAGCAAGAAATTCTAGCTGTTACGCGACAGTTCTTTAATATTTCGCACACTCTGACACGCAACTACATTTCTCACACAAATGAGGAACATTCGCAAAACGTTTGGGAAAGTTCCGCCGGATTACTTGCGAAAGTTCAATACATGTGCTGCGGAAGTTCCCAAATGAGGTGTTGCGGAAGTTCCGAAGAATGGGAACCACAACAGCAAAAGCGAACACCTAAGTGAACACGCGCGCCATACTTGATCCTCTTGATCCACTTCATCCGCTTCGTCACTGGTCGATTCATTAAACTGACCAGTAGCGAAGCGGTTGCCCACTTGATCCGCTTGATCCACTTCATCCACCTCACTATGGGTTAGTTCAATGAATTGACCAATGATGAAGCGGTTCAAGTGGATCAAGCGAATCAAGCTGGCGCGTGCCTAAGGCTTGAGATATACCTGACGATAGAGGTATAGCGGTGTTGGCGAATCGCTGATGTCTGCGCTGCCCTTAGCTGCTCGTGGCTGCTGCGCTGGGTACGCTTTGGGTGCAAGAACGAAGTAGCTTTACCCATTCTTAGCTTAGACCATTAGGAAAAATTCTTGAAAACTACTAAAATTAAATGTTTCCATGAGTTTGAAAAAGTCATTTTGTCCTTATCAAGAAAAAAATTTTTTTTATAACAGCATAAAATGGCCAACTAACTGTTTGCATATACTGAGAAAATTATAATCATTTGACAAATATCCAAAGTGTCGCATTAGAACCCCGATGTATGCTTGAGGCAACAACTGAACTATCTAGGTCATAGCTGCCGTTAATGTATTGAGGTGTACTGGTAACGTCCCACTAAATCGCTGAATCCTCTAGCTTTTCATCGTTAATTTAATTTGATTTTATTTTTGCTTAGTTCCGAATTCATTCTTTGTCGACTTTGTCAATTCTTTAATTTCCTTACCACGCATTTGGTTTTGATGCAAATATGTCATAGCAGTATCGCAACAAGTGCTCTAGAAATCCTTCAGAAGTCCAAAAATATGTTGAAAGGGGAAATCCGAGCAAAATCAGCGTTAGCAGTTCGAAGCAGCTGAGAGAAGCTCACAAGTGAGCTTCATATCGCGTAGCAGCGGGGAGCAGCGAGGAGCAGCAGCCAGCAGCGCGGAGCAGCAAGAAGCAGCGCAGCATCGCTAGCTATAGCGGGTCTGTTTCGAGTTGGCTGCAGCAGCTAGGAGCAGCGGCGTTGCCGCGTCAATCGATACGCACGAAAAGCGTTGCTGCTGGCAGCGTCTTACCGTCAGCTATAGCGACCCATCGTCAGGTATATCTCAAGCCTAAGAGACAACTTCAGAAACCTGCGGAGGTGCTGGCTGGTCAAAGCGCTGCGGAGCCGCTGGCATCTTTCGGAATTTTCCCAGCGTTTCGTAACAAGCCTGCGGAAGTCCCCGTTTCCAGCCAATCTGGCGAGGAAATTCAACGTTCCCATTCTTAATATTAAACAAAATTCTGCGAAGTCGCTGCAAATTCTGCCTGTCCTGCGAAATCTCTGGTGTTGTCTGAGTTTGGGAGGCCGTCCCTTGCCAAAACTTTACTAAAAAGTGGTGACTGGCAAGCACTTGATTTGGGGGGAGGGGGAGTAGTATTTCCATCCATTTGTTGTGGGAGAGAGGGGAAAAGTATCTACCCAAGGACCGTACCAGAAATCTCCTATTCAGCAGGATTATCGAAACCGGCGCGCTGCAGGGCGCAATAGCGCTGCTGAATCAACTATAACCATCAACTGAACGCTTAAGTAATGAACTTCATATGACTAATTGTTGGGAGTTTAGGTTTTCTGCTTACCTTTACTTTGATGAGAACTTGGTTAGGCTTTGCGATCGCTGGAACAGGAATTTCGTCCAGTTGCGGCAGTGTCTCCGGACCTTGGACTCGCCATGCTCGCATCAGAGCTTGTTGTGCGGTATTACTCGAGATGCTGGGTACCTTCATCTGCAATTTATGCTTTGAAGCAATGTTTCATTTATAAAGGAGCTCGTCAATGAGGAGAACAAGTTGCTCCATTGCTCATCAATTCTGCTCCGCTTCAAGTCTGTAAGTGCACACAATATTTTGTCATCGTTCACGCCTTTTTTATTGAGCATTTTGCCTTCGCTCAATTCTAAACAACTCATCCAACTTCAAGATCGTCCATCTGAAGCTTTTTTAAACGAAGCATTGCTTTCAGCATTTTTGTTTTTAATCCCACGATTTTGGAAGGATATTACCACGATTTTGGAAAGATATTGAAGGATTTGCCCGGGAGATTAACTCTGATTAGATATCATGGTGGTACTTATCTTACCATCTTCATTCTAGAAATAACTCGTTTTGATTACCCTGCATTTGTTGTGATCATAGTTGGAGGTATCCATCTGTCTTGAGGATTTTCAGTCATATTTTCGCTGTTTTTGCGTTGCTTTGTTTTTCCTTCTCATTATTCATGTATAGTACTATGAACGTTCAGAATGTCCACCACACCGCAAAAGACTACTGCTGCCAAGGGTGATACAACGCCTGCGGCTGCAGCACCGGAAAAAATGGAAGTGGAAGAGGTGAGTGCTTTCCAAGTGCATTTTAACCAGAGGTCATACCATAGATTTCCAGGCACTGGATGAGGAAATTCTTCGTATGGCTCCTGAAGATCTCAAAAGCAGAACTCATCTGCTGGATAATGAAATCCGCATAATGAGAAGTGAGGTGCAGCGAATCAACCATTCCGTTTCTACATTGAAAGAGCGCATAAAAGAAAATAACGAGCGGATCAAGGTGACTTACTAGTTGTGCTTGCCTTCTTGCTCTCATATATACTTTTTAGGTGAACAAGACTCTACCTTATCTGGTCTCAAACGTTGTGGAACTTCTAGATTTGGAGGACAATCAAGAAGAAGAGGGTAAGGTTGTCGTCATCTTTATACTCAACACAAACGATTTGTTTTGCTGTAACACATGATGTACAAACGATTCGTTTTTGCTACAACAGATCTGTCACAAAAGTTTCGTCATATATCACAAAGGTTCTTGCTCTGTTGACTTCTTGAAGATAACCTCGATATTTGCTCGTATGAGGCTTTTGTTTAGTCGCGCTTATCGACCGTGTCCAGGGTATGTAGTACGCCTTTTCGGAGAGCGCTGTTCGCATGCGCCCTTTATCTCATAAGTAGTAGTACATAACATATTATTGAGAGTCTAGGTCTAGGAAGCACAAGGTCGTAATCATAGGCATTATCTGTAAGGTATGATTGTGACTTACTTAGCCTTGAATCCGCAATGTGTCCATATTTGACCACCTAATCTGCGTCCTTGCATCTGCGTATCGCAGTTGATATATCAGCAATGATGATCACTAGACATTGTCAGCTTAATCCTTTCGTATATCCTGATCATTCATCAGAACAATTTCTTACTTAAAGTTCACCCTTTTTCCGGTTTTTCTATGCAGAATTCCAGTCGTTCAGGAGCCAACGTTGATCTTGACGCTCACAAAACTAAATGTGCTGTCATCAAAACGTCAACGAGAGCAACCTATTTTTTACCAGTTGTTGGACTAGTTGAACCATCAGAGTTGAAGCCGGGAGATCTAGTTGGCGTGAACAAGGTTACTAGCTTTTTTGTTTATCGCTCACGTGTATTGAAATCTTCTTCGATAGGACTCATATCTGATTCTGGAGAAACTTCCGGCAGAATACGATTCACGTGTGAAGGCTATGGAGGTACTTTCGCTTTGCTTTTCTTGGTGTTGAATTTTTTTGGCTGGACTACCGAAGCATTCCCGAGTTTAGGTTGATGAAAGACCATCGGAGCAATATTCCGATATTGGAGGTTGTGATAAGCAAATCCAAGAACTCATCGAGGCTGTAGTACTGCCAATGACACACAAGGACCGCTTTGTCAACCTCGGTATCCATCCACCAAAGGGGGTCTTGCTGTATGGACCACCAGGTACGCATCGTTTCACCTTATCCCGGCTTGTACTCTATATAATGCTATGTCAGGCACGGGTAAAACCATGATGGCTCGCGCTGTTGCTGCGCAAACTAAGTCGACTTTCCTCAAACTTGCCGGTCCACAGTTGGTTCAGATGTTCATTGGAGATGGCGCAAAACTTGTTCGTGACGCTTTTGCACTTGCCAAGGAAAAGGCTCCTGCTATTATATTCATCGATGAACTTGATGCTATCGGTGAGTTTACTTCATTGTCTAGCGCTGTAAATTTTCTTCTTTTCTTTTTTTTCGTAATTTATTGGTCTGCTTAGGTACCAAGCGTTTCGATTCTGAAAAAGCGGGTGACCGTGAAGTGCAACGTACTATGCTCGAACTACTCAATCAACTCGATGGTTTCCAACCAAATGACGAGATCAAGGTGAGATTATCTGCAGGTGTGCTCAAATCATGTCAGAGTCCTTTCAGGTAATAGCTGCGACAAACAGAATCGATGTACTCGACCCTGCGCTGCTAAGATCTGGTCGGCTTGACAGGAAAATCGAACTGCCACATCCAAATGAAGACGCTCGAGCACGTATCATGCAGATTCACTCAAGAAAGATGAACGTCAAGTATGTTTTTCTCCCACAAGTGCAATCATAGCGGTTTCTTTGAGCATGCTGTCAAGCATGTGCTTTTTTTGCTTTGAGATCCTACGTCTCATAATTAATGAACAAACAGTAGAGCATCAGTGGAAATCTGTTGAGTCTGTCTATTTGCATCATGATTTCATCAAGGAAAGGGGTAGAAATGGAGAAGATTGATATCTTGCATCAGCTTTTTTGTTTTTCTCAATTGAATTTTCTCCGACATGTTTTGTATCACTCCTAAGCACTTATCGCGAGAGGCAAAGCAAAAGTAATAAATGTGGATTATTATAGCAAAGACGTGAACTTCGAAGAGCTGGCACGATGCACTGATGATTTCAATGGAGCTCAGTGCAAAGCTGTCTGTGTGGAAGCGGTAGGTTTCAAACGTGCTCTGCGTCTAATATTTCTCAGCGTCGATATATAGGGTATGATTGCTTTGCGGCGTGATGCAACCGAAGTGCTGCACGAAGATTTCATGGACGCAATCCTAGAAGTGCAAGCAAAGAAGAAAGCAAGCCTCAACTATTATGCTTGAGCTGTATTTATTTTATATATACCTTTGTTCTTGACACACTCTCTCTGCACTCCTCCCTCTTACGGCATACATCTTATGATTGCTTGGAATGTATGACCGCGTCGTTTTTGACTGGTGAAAAAAATCTGTTTTTGGGAGTAATATCCGCACCAAAATTGGGTGAAGTTTTTTTGCACCTATTTAATACGTGTAGTTCACGAACTCATAAAAAATAAATATGGAAATTTGCAGTCCTGTTGACTATCACATGAACTATCATTGGAACATCTATTCTTGTGTTTTTTTCACCAACGAATCATTAGCTTACAATGTAGGGATGCTGATTTTCGGTGTGCTGTAGGAGCGTCCTTCATTTCTATAGGTTCTAGCCAGTGATCGGTGAGTAACTGCTCTTTCTTCGCTCTTATGGTCTGAGCATTTTCAGCTACCGAAGAAGTGATGTCGGTTCCCGTTGAGTCTGTTCCTCGTGGGCATCTTGAGCTGCATCCCCGTATTCCTCTTTCACCTCCAGACAATGACCTGATTGTGCCTACCAGATCGCAAGACGATCTTATCAAAATCGTTGAATGGGATCATATGAACCTTGCTCTTTTCTACCCACTATCTTTGAGCAGGTTCGTTGCCTTATCTCATTTATTGGAAAATTCATTTTTTTATTTTAGTACCTTTGCGGTCCGCGCAATGTTATATCCTTTCGCTGTTGTGAGAAGCCGTTTACAACTACAAAAACAACATGCAGTCTACAAAAACACTTTCGATGCATTTGTCAATATATCTAAAAAAGAAGGAATACGTGGACTATTTAGGGTATGTTCTACTATTCCGCGGTTGTTGTCACCCTCATGTTCTATGTATTACGCCAAATTCCCTTTCTTTGTCCCTCACTTTTTTTGTTGGGGATTCTATAGTCTAAATCTCATATGAGAATGTAGCTCGAAGTATTTACTTTGCTTCTGATTTTTAGGGATTTTGGGTGACAATACCGCAACTAAGCACTTCGCTTATCTATTCTACAGTGTATGAAAAGTTTCGATCTATCTTAAATCGAGATTTCGGTATTTATTCTGTCGCTGGTGTATCTAGCCTGGCTGGCGGTGCCGCTAGCTTTTGTTCTCAGGTAAGCTAGTTTTCATGATCTGCAGAATGTCGTTATAAATGCATTTCAGTCTATATTTGTCCCTACCGACATTATCGCACAATACATGATGATCTATTATAAAGCTGACAAATTTGTTGCCGGGAGTGACAGAAGAGTTCTTAACTATGTTCTTAATGAAAAGAACCCTCGACTTACGCTAGGCTTGCGGTTTATCAGAGCAATCTACAAAGTTGATGGGCCCAGAGGGTTCTACCGGTGAGTGAGGTCAAATGACCGATGCTCTGTGGGTTTTTACGACGACTCTTTCCTCCATATGGTGTGAACCATGCCAAACATGTTTGCAGAGGATTTTTTGCTTCTGCCATGGTTGCTACTCCATCGTGCTTAGTCTTCTGGCCTGTGTATTACTGGATCCAAGATCTCTTCAATTGGGTATTTATGACCAGCATGACGTAGTAATACTTTTTATTTAAAATTTACTCCTTCAGATACGTGAAAAAACTACTGGAAGGCCGGGAATTCTCCTCTTTGATCAAGCGGTCGCCGCTACCATTGGTGGTGCTGCTTCTTCTATTTGTACTAATCCTATGGAGATGCTTCGCATCAGACTCCAGGTAATTCAGCTAGTGAAGCATTATTCAACTACATGGTATGAGAAAGCAAAAATTTCTGGGAACATTGTTTTGATTTGCTCAGATTCATCGCACCAACTACATGGACACAATGACGAAAATGCTCAAAGAGGAGAAGCATCTTATTTTCACCAAAGGACTTACTCCCAGGTAGGCATGTAAAATTAGTGTCTCATGCTGGATGATTTTTCTACCAAATTTTTCGCAGAATGCTTAGCTACTCGATCTACTGCTGTATCATCATGGTTGGCTACGAAGCAGTCAAGCGAGTTTGTGTATTACCGGAATACAAAGATAAGATTGTGTGGTAGAGAACCACGAGATTAAGTATATGTAGGTTATTGGTCTGCGAAACATGTTTTACTTCGAATCTCTAGTCATCCGTGTAGTCGTCGAATAGTATAGTGTCACTTTTCTTGAAGAGCTTTGGGTATTCATAATCTTGCTGTTGCATCTCATTACTAGTATCTCTAGTCACTTGATCAAAAATTGTTGGTGTTGGTTGTTAGTCGTTGCAGAGTATAGAATGTATAGTATCGTTTTATCTCCTATAGATAATAAAGAAGTTCGTTATAGCTCCAAAGAATTTGATATGTTAGTTTATCACATGATACTTGCTTCTTCATTCAAGCTATCTTCAAAAGCTTGTGCATGTGTTTGCAAGCATACAAAATGTCGTACTGTCTGCTTTCGGCAAATGTATGGTTTTTATTTTTTAGTGTCGAGATCATTTACTTCCATATAACTGATATTTCTTTTAACTCGCCTGAGCCACGTCTTAGTTTAGGCTTGAGTCTAAACTACTTTTCCAGGGTAACCATGTCCATTTTAATGCTGAGGAATCCTGACGAGAAGTTGTTGAAAATGTTCAACCGATTTTCCATTAGGGTGGACCATAAGAGTTAGAGGTTGCAAAATTTAGTTGGCAGACGAAAAAGCTCATCACTTAGTGTTTCGCTTTGCTTACGAATTCTGGGAAAAAATTTTGCCCTTTCTCTCCCCTTCCTTTTACCCATTCCACGCTTTCACTAAGATCGATTCATATGTTACTCATTTGTTGTGAAGACTATTAGTGCTTTTTACACTTTTCAGTATCAGTAGAAGAGCTCTACAAAGAGTAGCGGCGTGACATCGCTGCCAATGCTTCAGCAAAAGCGGCCTTCATTGCTCAAATTTGCTCTCTTTCTGGGATCTTCCGGGCACGGATAGAATTTACCTAACCAGCAATGACATCCGAAACATCAGAGGCGCTCGACTTGACCACAAGTGTGAGTTGCTTTAGCATTACTCCATTCTGCGCCAAATTATGTTAAATACTTTATGTTCAGGACAAGTTACTCGTAGTCCGATGGGAACATCTCAATCTTTGGCGATTTTATCCATTAGCTTTAGCTAGTTCATGGTCTATACGATGTTTCCTCTATCCTATGTAAGTTATGATTCTCATCATATTCAATTGAATAAGCTTGAGTTTGTAAGGCTTATGCATGGAATTATTTTAGGTCAGTCGTAAAAAGCCGACTGCAATTGCAACGTCAAAATAATGTATATCGAAACATGCGACATGCCTTTGCAGAGATTTTGAAGACCGAAGGACCAGGAGCTCTTTATCGGGTAGCTTTTGCATTTGAGCGCTTCATTGTCTTTATTTACAAGATTTTTTGCAGGGCTTTTGGGTGACTGTTCCACAACTCTCTGCATCTTTTCTTTATTCATCAACCTATGAAAGAACACGCGATCTGATACAAATCGATCTAGGAATTAGAAATCCTGCACTTGTTTCTGCGCTTGCAGGTTTGTAAGCAAACTGCAATGAGCGCCTCTCACTATGATACATTCCATATGATTCGTTTTAGGAGGTATCGCTTCTCCATGTGCCCAGCTAGTTTTTGTCCCTACAGATATTGTTGCTCAACATATGATGGTTCATAATAATCCTGAAGCATTTGGAGGTGATTTTCCATAGTTTCTTCACTCTAGACTTTCATATTGTTTTTGCAGGCAGCAGAAGGAACGTACCAGTAGCCGCTATGGTCAGAACGGACGGGTTGGAAGGCAGATGTACACTTGGTCTCCGTGTAATACGAGCTGTGTATAAAGTGGATGGATTTTCAGGATTTTATAGGCAAGTGTGTTTGTGACCTCCAGTATTTGCAAGAACACGTTGATACTATTGAAGCAAAAATCCTGGTTGGTTGTAAATAATTATGATCTATCTGTTTACAGGGGCTTTCTTTCTGCTGTTTTGTTGTACATACCCTCCACTATGGTGTTCTGGTCCACATACTATCACGCTTTGGGAGTATTTCGAAAAATCCGTATACGGGTTTGTTCCAATACTTGTAAAATGTTTCACAAGTCATCATCTTTTGTCTCTAAAATTTGCATACATCCCTTCCCTGGTTCACACTGTAAATTGTAATCTAAGGTCACCGAACTGCAGCGAGGCGTGAAACCGAAATCAGTTGCCGAAGTCGACAATAGAAATCTTTTCTTAGATCAGGTAAGAAACCATAGCGGCTACTTCGAGTTGAATTCATCGGAGAACTCCAGGCTGTTTCGGGATCAATAGGAGGCATCGCTTCAGCATGTGTCACTAACCCTCTGGAGATGCTTCGTATCCGTCTGCAGGTATGCCATGATGTTCAGCATAATGACACAGGTTGGAACTTCTTTTTAGGTTCACCGTACGAGTTACGCAGATACCATACGAAGATTGTGGAGATATGAGGGTTCAAAAGTATTCACAAAAGTGAGTTTCCACACACTTCATAAATCAATTTTTCTCGCTCTTCTTAAAGTATACTGGATGTGAAGAAAGCCTTCTGTACTGAATGTAAAAAAGTCGAAGAGATGAAGCAAGATAAATCCATTGCATTGAAAAAAGTCTAAAGGAAATTATTTGAGACTAGTTGACTTACCCGGCTCCGCCCGGCCCTGTCATTATTATATTCGTAATCAGCATGCTCGATTACCCCCTGTGCCAACTCCCAGCCCCGTAGCTCAAATTTTGCAAAAAATCGATAAAATCGATATCGATCGATACGAAAAGTAGCCTATGACACCCGCCGGGGCCCGAAGTGTATGTGTGCCAAGTTTGGTCCGGATCGGTTCAAAAGTGGAATTTTCTATTCGGAACATACGTACACACAGACATACAGACAGACATACATACAAACAGACATTCAGCTTTATATATAAGATTCTGCTTTTAGTCTCTCCGAGGGCTGTGTTCTCAAAGGTAGAAGAAAATTTATACATAATTTTGTACCAAAAGTACCTCGTCGAAGCAAAAACTAATTTTTTTAGGGTCTGGCTCCCCGCGTCGTTAGCAATGCAATATACTCAAGTTTCGTTATGCTTGCGTATGAGACCGTGAAGAAGATATCTGTTTTACCTGAGTATAGAGATGATGTTGTGTGGTAGTACGTTAGCTATTTGGTTGAAAATTTCTTCGTATGTGAACCTCAACATCATTGCCTGACTGTGTCTGATATTGCTTTTCTTTCATACCTCCTGCTTTCTCTAGTCCACTTAGAAACGCATTAACTACCTCAAACGACTAACTCTAGGATGTTTGTCGTGCGTGCCCAAATATCTTTCATGCATCAAAAAGGACGTGATACTGATATTAATTTGATAGCCTTAGGTTCATAATCAATCTTTCATCGCTTCCCTTGGGGTTGTGCTGCTTGTGATTCGAGCTGTACATTTGCCCAACTTCAGAGAGACTAACTCTTCTAGCTCAGGTGTTAGCGTCGTAATCTTTTCGAATTCGACAGATTCGCTTGAATCTCTAACTTTGATAACAGTTGTAGGTCTCTTACATTTTTGTAATAGTATGTACAGATTGATAAACTTTGGTTAGAACCGGCGAATGTTTGCCTATGGTCATTGACCGTACATTCTGATCAATTCATTGACGAACTCTTTCAATGAGAAGTTAGCTGTATCAATAAGCAGCTTGACGTAGATGTCTGCACGGCGGGCCTTATCCCGATTTGACCGAGTGAATCAATGGTTGCAGTTTGCTCGCCAGTGGCATTTAGTTGATGCAGATCACCAGGTATCCACTTTTCTTCCTTTGTTTCTTCAAGCGCTTGCTTCATATGCGTGAGATCTAATCATTCTTGTGTAATCTGTCAAATTTTTGATGCCCTTTGGTGTTTTTTTTTCATTAGATTATGTCTGACTCCAACAAAACAATTGTGGGCAGTACTTAGTGAATTATGCATGTGTAGAAATTCTGATTCTTCAATTGAGTATCAGCTTACGAGTTTTTTTTTCCAGTGCGCAACTTTTTTACATGAGATAAAATTCCTTTTCTTGTTGCAGAACTGAACTTTTTGAAGACCGAAGTATTACCGATTTTTTTTCAAATTTAGGATGCATTTCAACTAGGGAAGTATGTCGCAAAATATCTGTCAGGTAGACATAAACCCATCTGGCATCCCGAGACTGATTGTGGAGATCATGTAGTAGTTGTAAACTGTCGGCATGTGGCTATGCATGGATTCGATTGGAAACATACTCTGTTCCACTTCAATAAGGTCAGCAAAAATGTTATTTTGTCGCTCCGCAGTGATATCTATGTTTCCAGGAATATCCAAAATCTAAAGTTGACATTCCTGCTTGGCAAATACATGAGTACGATCCATGTCGTATAATGTTCTTAGCTGTTTATAAGGTAAAGAACCACTTTCTTTGATAAATTCTTGCGATATTTTGCAATATTCAGGGACTAGGACATAATTTGATACGGCGAACCCATATACAACGGTTACATCTTTTCCCTGGTACAGATATGCCGGATTTTATTAAAGAAAATCTAGGCAGCCAGGTAAGCTGAAGACCTGGATTTCTGAACGCAATATTCGATAAAGCCATTATATTCTATTTAGTTGGAACAGATTCAGCCAGTACCCAAACGAAGCGATGAATATACACCGGAGGAGCGAGCAAAGTTCCCCAAACTCATAAGGTGAATCATTTTATCTGATTATTTTCAAATTGGGGTAAACTAACAGATTTGAGATTTTGATATAGTGTTCGGAACAGATTCTAGCAATGACAAGTTCAATCATCATAGAAAAACAGAGCATGTAAATCTTCCTAATCATGACATCCTCAATGACAGCTTTACAGTTTCCCACCAAATCATGTGGAAGAATGGGAACGCAGCGTGCCAGTTCCAGGACGGTATGAAAAGAAAAATCCTTTGGCAAAGAAGTAGGGAGACTATAGAAGTAGAACACTTTAATGTACAAATTCCAAAACAGATAGCACATCCCCATCAGTGATGAGAGTTGTTATCTTATCTTGTTGTTATCATTCAATATATATAAAAATCTGATTCATTTTTTTGGCAATCACTGTGAGATAAAAGCAAACATCTCATCCCTAACCGAAAATACAAAAAAAAAACTATGTACATATCACAAGCCCATGCGATGGTAATTGTATAATTTGAGGAACATTTAGATACATGGTCTGTGTAACAGAATTCCTCGATTCTAGTATAGAAAAAATAAGCATCAATCCAAGATAGAAATGGCCCAGTATTGTGTAGTAATTCCACTTATTCGAAGGAATGGTGCAAGAAATTGGGGTTGTAGTGAAAGCGCAGAAATCAACCTCCCAAATGACCGAACAGCCTCCTTCCAATCTGAGTTCGACCAGTCAACTCGCATTCTTTCATCCCCAGCTGTGGTAGTCAAGAAACTAAACTATTTATATCCTTCCAAAGTTGAAGTATTTCTTAGAAGCTCATAATCGTGATTGATCAAAATATTTGACAAGTTCCAATGAAACCTACCTCAAATGTGCACCAGTCAGCACAGTTTTTTCCTCCTCAGCAAGTCGAAGTGTGCGAGCAGCAAGCAGTCTAGCCATCGTTTGTACGAACGACTCTGTCTGAGTGATCCCGGTCATTTCTCTGCTAGCAGCTTCATCTTGTCCCGCTCGCAGATGGCATAAAACTTGCTGGAAAATGGAATAATAATGTTGGGTGATAACGGAAAAATTGTTATCCAATAAAATTAACCAAATAATAATAAAAATAAATAATTTCAGATAATGATAAGTTTTGTGATAATTTCAATAATAAGGGTTTTGTAATACAGTAATAATTTCAATCATTCTATTTAATTAACCGGTCCCATAGCCGTATGGGAACGGCCATAGGTTGTCGGTGTTGTCGATGTTGTCGGGGTTGCCGAGGTTGCCGGTCGTTGTAGGACCTCATGATAGCCTCTACGTTTCGCTCGCTCTCTAAACTGTCTTTGACCTCGACAACTCCGACAACATCGACAACACTGACAACACCGACAACACGGACAACATCGACAACATCGACAACCTATGGCCGTTCCCTATATCAAAGTTCTAGTGATATTCAAGAAAGGTTTGTAGGCTGCGCAAATTTACGCTACGCAGGGAGAAACACAATGGGGTGATTAAAACGAAAAGCTGACTGAAAGTAACAATAGTTGGGAGGCAGGGGAAACCAAGTTGATTGTCCCTTTATGTTTTCTCACCGAATAGGACTTCCCTTCGTTACATTGCGTCACTTCTCAGCTTTCAAAAACAACAACAAGAAATTTCTTCGTATTTCCTGCTCCTAATCACTACAGTTATGAGATCAGTGGTGCTTTTAATGAGAAATAGCAGTAATGTAAACTCGCCGTCGACTGGATGGTGTCAACCGTCAGATTCCATTCACATGACAAGACTCTCGCAAGCCTTCGATCTACGTCTGTTCCTTGCTCGGCTATCTAAAAAAAGTGTTATAGTCAGTCAGCATCTAACACGATGATTATCACCTTAGCCAAAAACTGATGTCTTCGCTCCAATACAGCATCGTCAACTTTTTCAAGCGGTATAAGTGGGTGTGAATCTAGGGGATGGAAAAATGCACGTTGTCCGATAGGACAGAAAAGGATGCTAAGTATGTGCAAGCGAATTCCTGATGAAAGCTAAAAACACTTGAATGAATAACAAAAAAATTAAGTTCAAAGGTGCAGCTTACCTGAATGGCAGCTGCTACGGCAAGATGATAATGATGTAAGACTAAGTGATAGTTAACAAGCGCTTGTCGGTTGGCTAATTCCACCAGAGAATCTCGTAAAGTGATTAATGATTGTAAAGATGACGGTGGATGAGACTGCGCTATCTGTAAGAAGTCCACCGGTGAAAGAAATCTCAAGGGAATAAATTCTCACCAACCTCTATAAAATCTTCTAGTTGTATTTGCGATGGTGGTGGTGGATCCCTGACGTCATCCATCAACATTTTTAAAAGTTCATGACATCTCGACAGAAATTCTACCTAAACTGATTGAAATCAATGAAATCTTCAACGTTTTTTGGAACACTAGGAATAAAACCCTAGCAAATCTCACCACCCGAATCTCCGGCATATGAAGCTGCTTCCGAGCTTCGCGTTCCTTTGGTGCACGACCAGTCTTCTCGATCAATAAAATCACCTCCTTGAATCGCTCGAGAATAAAGTTTTGCCACATCAGTGAAATGACTCCATGTCGAAGACGAGCGCAGTCAATAGACCCCAAATATCCCATGGCAAGCTTAATAAATCATTTCTTGTTTCTGCAATACATTTAAGAACAAGCAGGTACGGCCTTACCTCTAAGTTATCACCATTCTCGTAGCTGTCCTTGAACCACAAGCTCACCAACTCCCATGCAATCTCACAACGAAGCAATGATAAGTTCAAAGTGTGTGGAAGTAGCGTACGTAGTTCTACGATATGAGCAGAAGACGAAAGGTGCTCTTCGAGCGCATCAGACTTCCATTTTTCAGAGGCTGCTAACGAGGCAATCTGAATATTTTTTTGACGCTAACATATCCGTGTCTCAAGTATAACCACGTACCTGTTCGCGTAAAAATGCACCGATGGCACCGACGACTTTCGAGTATGGTGCAGGCCGGCCTAGTTCTCCAGCTAACCAAGCAGTATGTATTGTAAGAATGGTACAATCAGCATGTTCAAGAGCTGGATTAATTGGCTCCCAATCGTCACCGCCTTTAATGAAAGATTTCAAGACCTCTGAGAAAAGTAGCCTCTACGGAATAACGTACCTGACATATCCATATCATCCTCTCCCTTCTCGGCAACATTTTCTTGTTTCATAGTCTGGCTTCTTCTAACAACACAACAAGCTGCATACAACAAGAGAGCTCGATTTAGATTGCGACTGAAAGGAAAAAAGATGAGATTGTGCAAAAAGGAAAATGACTTACCATTCCAAAGCCGTTTTCTCAGCTCTATCTAAAACTCCCGGAAATTGCTGCTCAAAATTTGTTAGCATTTCGCATAATTTTGGAAACGCCGTGAAGCCGAATTGTGATTGTGATTTGGTGAAAACAAACGTCAGGAGCTCGGGATAGCTGTTCTGCAACCATCTTGAATCAGATAGAAAAAAGTAAGAAAGGGTGGTAGCGAACCATTGTAAATGGAATGTCCGGCAAAGCGACATCGAAAAAATCTTCCACGTCAATCTGACCCTTCAATACGGGAGCAAATACGAATTCTCCGAAGCGCAGTACATCAGCGTCAGGATAATTCCTTCAATAACAACCTCGGCTAATTTTTTTTGGCAACAAGCAGGCGCACCTTTCCCAAAAAGCCGTATTTCTTGATCTGCAGTCTATAAAATTCAGGAACTCTCCTGGCGACATGATTTGAGTCGACGAGCTGCAAGGTCATGATTTTTCGGTGAATTACAGTGCAAAACACTTAAAAATCATGGAAACAAGAGATGCCTTGAATCAGTAGATACAAGATAAAATTTGCAATACAACCTACATCTGCTCAAACGCACAGTGTCTCCTCAGAATCTCTTGGATCTGTTCGCCAAAATGAGTTGAAGGCAGATCACATTCCTCCACATTTCGATGGTGATATCCAAATAGTTTGTTGTATAAGCCCAGAAGTCGTTTCAATAGAGCGACAAGATCTTTTAGCGGACCCGCTCCAATTTCAGACTAAAGAACGTCTCATTTGACCAGAGCTAGGGTTCATGCTTTGCGAATAAAAAACCGCTTTTGAATGGACTGATAAAGAAATGCTAAGTTTCTACCTTTCCAATACCATTCAGGATAGACTGAAGTATACGAGGTTCCGTAACGTAAGGTAGAACCATCAAAAGAAGTTCCCTCTTCGACTTCTGTAAACGCAGTGTGGAAAACAGCGGCAGGAAGGAGCTTATATCGGAAGAGGGCGAAAACTGCAAATTTGCAAAATTCACACTGAAACATATGGTAGACCATAAGAATACCACCTTTGATAGAAGTAATTGATCGTGTTGATCTTGCGAAGTGATGCGTAACATCGAGAGATGGAAAGGCACTATTAGGCGGCAAAACTTACCCTATAGAGCATGTATAGGAGAGACACTATACAAGCGTGAATATTTTTTGAATTTACCTGACTATCAACAAAATATGCATCGCGCTCATAAAGAGAGCTATGCGTTCCACATAAAACTGCAGCACTCCCTCCGTCCAACAATACACCAACGGGATCCACATGAACTGCCCCCACTCTTACACCACTCTGTCCAAAGCTTGAGTCAAGATACGAGATAAAGAAATTCACTGGGTACCTGCACATTCCACACTTCAAGCAAGGAACGACGAGGAGCGAAGATTGCAAGAAAAAGGGCGGTTTGCTTATTATCTACTGAAGTGACCCATGCAACAGAAGCATCTCTATATCCCTTCCAGATACGAATTATCTGGCGATTCAAAACCTAAATAGAGCAGGAAATCTAACAATTTAATGAGTGATCAGAAATAAGACGAAAGTAACGACTGAGTAAAGATTGGCATGACAACACAATAAAAAGAAGCAACGTGAAAATTGCGCTAGCTGAACTGAACTTACATCAATAAGCACCACTCTAGCTACATGGTCTACAACAGCCACTAAGCCACGTGATGCTTCTAGGGCAATTTCAACTGCGAGGCGAGAATCTCCTAGTGCTCCTCGTGTAGTGATTGTATAAGATTCTTGAGCAAACGCTGCTTTCTTGCGCGGTTTGCTGGAGAAGCCAAGCATGTCACGCAAGCCAAAATGCGGGACAAACTAGAATGACGTTAACTTGAGAAGTTATCACACATAAAGCATCATTCCTACAGCAACTTACCGATTTACCATACTTGACTGCTTCAGCCCATATTTTCCTCCTATCGCTATCAGTTGTCCAAGCAAAAGTCGAAAATATTCTGTCAGAAGTGTAAAGATACATTGAATAAAGTGGAGGCACAGAACTGCGTATCGTTTCCTCAAAAAAATCTGCTTCAAAACTTCTTCCTGCGATTAGATAGTAATGCAGTGAAGATGGATCGTTCAAGGATAACAAAACTGTAGGCTCAGCTAGAATCTAAACTCACGTTATATGAAGAGAACGATGCTGTGGAGTATAGTTCAAAAGCTGATGGCTGGTGAACACCTGTGAACAGGACATGGCGCAAACCATTTGCACTGAAATATGAATAGTTGATCATGGAAACCAAAACAATAAAACTAGAAGCTCTATGACCACATACCCTTTCTCAGGCTTCATATGGTCCACATCAAGTTCGAGCGTTTTCGAAAGCTCCTCTGCCTTCATTTCTCGTTTGGCGATCTAAAGTGAATGGACGTCAATCACTATATCGATATGAAAGGAGAAAAAATATACCGCTGATTTGGCTTTCAAAAGAGTAGAATGGAGACTGATAGGTTCGACAGCAAAAAAGTCGGCAGAAGTAACAACGGTAAATTGTTGGCTATCGTCAGTCCGCACAAAAGATAAAGATAAAACGTCATCTTTGGCGAACTGTTCGAAGAATAATAGTACACCTATGGTAAAGAAGGTAAGTTATATTGTCCAATCAAACTGTTTACAAACCATGGTCAGTGAAGAAAACGACGTGTCCATTGGACATTCCAAGTGCCACTATAAGGCAATCAAGCGTTTCTGTCACCCTGTGGGTACCAAGTCCAAACAGGCAACCGCAAGTTATTGTATCCTATGATATGAATAAGATGCATTTGTAGATAAGTAGCAACAAAAAGCCAAACCTCTTCTGCAAATCCTAGCTCGTCACCTAGTTCCTTCAAACATACTATTTCAAACTGTTTTGGATCTAACACAGACCTGCAAGGATATGGCTTGAGATTTGGTGAAACACCACCAACAATGTAGATGAATATGTCGCGAGTAATTAGCTTTGAACAGCGGATTAATCTTGGCGTATATGAACACAAATCGATTTGGGAAATTGAAAAAAAAATGATTTATGTGCTTGCGTAAAATGAGCGCATTATGACTTTTGACAGTTTGAAAAGCATCTTTTTTCAAAAATTACCTACTTCACTGAATGCGAGTGCTATTGATAAGCTATGTATAAACTACATAGGTTTGTCTGTACGTCAATAAAAGAAAAAAAAAACAAAATTATGGGAAAATATATGTGAAAGTGACAATGCATATACGACTGATAGCATTGGCAAAAGCAAACTGGGCTTACCTATTTAGAAGAGCAAATCTTTGACGATTTACCAGCAACATGTAGTCAAGTGAATTATATGTGACCAGAAAACACTGAGAGAGCCAACTGAGTGGTGAAGCATCATTGTCTACGACGCTGTTTAGAGGCTCCTAAAAAAAGATAAAAGCAACAGTGAAGACTAACACAACTTCCAAATCTGACCTCTTCGGCTAAGAAATCCCAATCACGCACTCCGGCAGGCTTTTCGGTATCTCGGGCAGCGTCCTCGTCACTGCTGGTACTTACAGTTCTTTTTACAAAACCCCCTGTGATTAAAAAGGGTTTTTAGATGTCTCGTCAGCACAAAACAACTCACGTGATTCTTCACGACATCCTCCCAGCAAATACTCCTTCACTTCTGAAGCTACCTCTTTCTCGATGAAAAGGCTCTCCTCAAGTGTGAAGGAAACTGCCATACAGGAAGAAAGTCAATCAATGCAAATGCTTTCGCTCGTTCAATAAGGTGTAGCACTTTATTCTGTCAGCCGCAGCATGGGAACTTTTCAGCTTAAAAATCAACAATCGGCTTTCTTTCGATAACAATCCCAGCCAACAGAAATTGTGAGACTTTTATTGTGCGATATTTTATTCATCGCTGGGTCACATATTAGCGATAGAGCGCTCGCTGATACGGGCGACTCCTACTGACATCCCGCAGGGGGAGGGGGGGAGGGCAAGCGTTATCCGGGCCGGTTCAGAAATGGGATATCCTATTCGGAACATGCAAACATGCACAAGCACATGCAGACTCTCACACATTTAATTTTACAAGGCGACAAAACGTGCAAAACGCAATTAACGTAAAGCCGGTAAGTCGAAACAATGCGCCATTTTTTTGATGGCGTCGAGTAATGTATCGACCCCGACCCCCACCCCCCCCCCCCTGTTTTTGGAGGAGGAGGTTTTGCACGGGGAGTTTTCTAGGCTCCAAATAATCGGGTTTGTCGCCTAACGCCCTACACCCCCCGCAGGGTGTCTCACCTCCACACCCTTACTTTCATTCACGGCATAGGGGATGACCAACACAAAAAGGTATCATTCATTCTACGACTAGGAGACGCGAAACCGCATTTCATACGTTGTCTAAACAAGCTTAATCGTGTACTTAGCAGGTTTACACTTGTCATTTATCTCGTTCAGGTTTATTAGGCACCCGCCATACTTGATCCGCTCAATCCACTTGATCCACTTGATCCGCTTAATCCGCTTCATCATTGGTCAATTCAGTGAACTGATCAATAGCGAAGTGGATGAAGTGGATCAAGCGGATAAAGTGGACAACCGCTTCGCTATTGCTCAATTCACTGAATCGACCAATGACGAAGCGGATCAAGAGGATCAAGTGGATTGAGCGGATCAAGTATGGCGGGTGCCTTACCCATAGAGACGCTGCGAGTAGGCTGTGGTCTTGCTGACAGGACTCTGGTTAACATTCTGCGAAGCTGAACCCTCTATTGGGCGAAAATTTTGTAATTTCATTGTGTTTTGGAGCGATTTTGACAAAAATCTCAATTTGGAGGGCATTTTCTTACCCTTTGGAAAGAGGGAAGAACAAACTTGGACATGTTAAGACAATGTCCGCAATGTGGTCACCGGCTCCTAGTCATAGAATAGATGATACCTTTCCATTATCCGGACCCATTTTTCCGAAGAGGATGTCGTGATAAACACACGACCCATGCTCAAATTTCAACTCTTTATTTCAACTCTTTCTAATGTTTACATTGTAAACTTGCCACAAAGAGTCCGCCATATGGCGGACTCTTTGTGTCCATTAGGGCCAGCCTCCTGCTGGCGAAGATTGGACTCACTCTCACTTTTGTCGTGTGCAGGAGATACCGGCTAAGTTTTGCTGAATAAACTCATATCCCCCAAATGTTAAAGGTAGTGGCTCGGCAAATCTCAACGTAGTCAGATTTTCGCTTACCCGGAGTTATTCAATACTCTGATCCTGAAAATCCACTTCTGCGAGCTTAAAACGGCGAAAACGAGCGTTTTTCAATGCCCTTCCCTTCGGAATTGGACCTGGATCATTCGGGACCCAATGGTTATATTGTCGACTCCCCAACTTTGGCGAGGCGAAATCGTGATCTTCACCGAAGATCGATGGATCAGGTATGCCTCAGCACAGGGCAACCGCAACGCAAGGCACGCTAGCGCAGCTCCGCCTCGCCAAAGTTGTGGAGCCGCTCATAGCATCTCAGACACTCGCACCGGCCGGCAACCGTTCGACGACGGCCTTCCGGCTGGCGGCCGTTCCATCATTTTGGGCGGAGCCAAACGCCGGCCGGCCACCGGACGAGTAAATAATGCCGGCCGGCGGCCGTTCCACTGTGCAAAAGTTCGGAAAGAGCACAAGGTTGCGCTTACAGGAAAATAATTTCAAACATTGGGCGCTTGTGTCTGCTAAGCAGAAAACTTTTCTTTATTTATTTTCCTTTGTTATTATTGGGGTTTTCTATTTCGTGCGTTATTTCTTTGTCCGATGATAGGTGATATAGCCCCTTATCATGATCCCGTTCATTCCATTCATTCCTTTTCAGATTTGATCATTGGTGTTCGCTATCTCTTCTTTCTATATTATTGCTTATTTTGACTTGAATGGCGAAAGAACCGAACATCAGTAAATTCATGCCTATTTGCTGTGATGTGAATTCTAGGTAAGTGTCGCATCACCTTTTGGGTACGAATTAATGAAGTACAAATTAGACGTCCACAAGTTTTTAGGAGACACCTGCGATACATTGTGTCTTGTTTTTTTATGATGGAACTACAATGAATGGTTGACTGCTGTCGATACACTGTTATTCGTGAATACGAATATGGCTTTCAATAAATACTCATTTATATAATTCTCAGTGCTGCGAATTGTGGACTATTCCTGCTTTGCTGAGTATTCTAATTCACCTAGAGATCGTTGATCTGTTGATTTCTGCTAAGTCACTGTGTGATATACTATCGCATTTCTGCTAATCTGATGCTTACGGCTGCTCGAAGCACTCCAAAAGATGTAAGTTTTCCCTAACTAACTGATTGAAATTACCCAGTGTTTTCTAGGGACCCATACGATCATCTGTTCTAACCATCTTCTGTGAACGCATATGTTTTGATATTACTCTGCTAACAGACGTTATCGCTACTCTATGCATAGCTGTAAGTTCTAGTATAAGTTAAAAATTGTCAATAGTTTATTTCATTTACAGGTTATCGGATGAGGCTTATCAATAGCTGAATGTGGCATTCAGAAACAAAACAAAATTATGTGACCTTTTAGCCAATCCGGAAAGGTTGTCCAACGATATGCGAACCAATTGCATCAAATGATATTATCGTATATATGGAAAGTCACTTGCTTCTTAGTTTTGAATGTATATATGGAAAGTCACTTGCTTTTTAGTTTTGAATGTATTTTCATGCATATGTGTACAATGTATCAATGTTTGTTGTTTGTTTAATGTCTCTTTGCATTGTACCTTTTGGCTAATAAATATGTTGTTATATATTCGTACCACCCCATATTAAGGTTACAGAGCTGAATGAAAGCTGGATAGAGAAAAAATACTGTGGCCCAGTGCTATTTTGTTGCGCCATTGACCATGCCGGCCAGCGGCCGTACGAGTACCGGCCGGCGGCCGTTCGAGTACCGGCTGGCAGCCGGCTGGCGATCGTTCCGGCCGAAATGTCGGTGACGGACCGACCGGTCATGGAACGGCCGCCGGCCGGTGCGAGTTCTGAGATTGCGGCGGGCAGCCTCTACTGGTGAGGAAGAAATTGCCAACTCGCACGGGAGCGTGTAAGATTGGAATGCGCGTGTAAGTCTGAGGGCCATTTTCTTGGCAGGGAAGGCATTGTGCAACCAGGATTGCACTGTTTTCATACTTGGGCAATAAGGAAATTACCGAGTTAAAATCCTGAATTGTTGAGTTTTGCCGATCCACTGCCTTTAACTGTGGCACAAAAAGGGGATTTCAAACCCACTATTTGGTCCCAAATTTACAGAAATTTACAGAAAGGTGTCAACCTTCTGCCGCTTGCCAAATTGGTTTGACATGTCATCTACATGTTCAACAAGTTTCACCAATAATTTGTCTTACCCTACTTAGCGACGTAAGCTTAAACTCTTTTTTAGTCAATTTTGACCTCATTTCGTTCAATCAATCTCAAAATGAACATTGTGATAACAACCTATTTTCGCTGAACACATTAAACTTGCTTGGAATAGGGAAGTGCGCTAGTATTCCGTTATAAGAGGCAAAATAAGCAGCAGCAAGATTTTTCAAGCCATCAATTATATTTTTTATTGGCTAAATTCGCATGGCGAAAAGGGTTTGAAGAGAAAGACATTTTCGAATCACTGCTGAAAGCAGTCAAGATGTTCTAAAATAAGTTCAAGATTGTTTTGCGTCCGTAGAAGGCAGTCAAACTGCTTTTGGGGGGTTTTCGTTTTTAACCTTTGATTCAACTGGCTTGGGGGCTGAAAGGCGGGACTTTGCGACCAAGTTGGGACCGCTCGCAGCGACGCAGTCTGCGTCTCTCCCGCTTGCGTGCTCTCTGATCTACCTAGCCTTAGTTACGTCACGAAGCCCCGCCTTCCAGCCGCCAAGCCAGTTGCAAAAGGTACCTCACCGGAAATGATTTCGAAAAAGCTTGTTAAAATGGACCAAAACATGTTAATTTTTTGTGACACATGGCAAGGAAGCAGTTCTTTAAAATATTTGAAAAATTATTCTCAAAATAAAGAACGTGTCCGGATGACGGAAAAGCACCCAAAGAACGAAAACAAAAGCGCATTGAAAATACAAAGTTACTGAAGGTTTACTGAAAAGATTGTAACATCTCATTTTGCAATTTCACGAGTATATTGCAATATGGATTTTGTAATCTCACAAGTGCGCACTATCCTAAGTTTCAAAATCTTAATATCTGGAGCGAAAATCGCTCATTTATCTTGTAAGGTTAGAATAGTAATAATTTAGTTTTGAAACCTCGGTGTATCGAAGGTGCACTGTTTGGTACTTGATAGGTTCTGCTATTTTTCCAAGATTCAAAACTTTGGAAAATTTATCAGTAAAATTCTAAAAGAGTAGCTGAAAGAGAAGAAAAATTGCTTTAGTTGGCCAAAGGTCTGCCCTACTTACTGATTGTCAAAGCTCCCACGAAAGTTCTTACAGAAATTTTAAAATTAGAGGAAGTTGGACTTGGTGAAAATGAGGGGTTGTAACATTAACTATCTCAGCATTCTGAACGAATCACACCCAGGGCTCGGCACGAGGTGGCTTACAAGCAAGCTGGGTATCGTTTTTGGGACGAAAAGCAAAGGGGGTTTCGTTTTTGTGACCGAAAAGACACGGAAAATTGGCGACGGCGACCTTTTTTTTTAGTCGACGTTTCGTTTTTTGGGGGATTTTGGGGAATTTTTCAGGTTTTTAGAGGAAATTTGGTTGAGGGTCAAAGGGGACTTCGTAAAAATTCCCAAAGGTCAAGGGGGACTTCGTTTTTTCCATTTTCATCTAGCCACCTCGTGCCGAGCCCTGATCACACCGGGTATATAGCAGCTGGAAAAGGAAGAAATTTTGCACCGGACGTTTTCAAATGTTTGTTTGTCTTTATTCTACCGAATTTTCCGGTGGAAAACCTGGCAAACTTTTGAACCGACCAGTAGTTTGTTTCCATTTGTTGATAAGTGAAAATAATCTCTCAAAAGTCATGAAATCTCCAACAAGGACGTGTACATATAGATCCCAAGTTCAGATTCTTCTCTGTAGGCTCGACCATTTTCCATATTCTCAATATGTTTTCCTCAGTCTACTTTCACAGTTACTATTGCCATGTTTAGTTTTTAGATTCCCATTTCTAAATGGCCTTTTACTCGAAATTTTTTGAGATCTCTCTTGCTCGCCGTCGTTCCTGCTCAGGCAGAGTAAGAATTCGTGCCCTCAGTTAAGTTTGCGTATATCATAGCACTTCGAAATTGATATGACAAAATGATCACCCTCTCAGACAATCGCCGGGGGCAGGCGGGCACCGGAAAAATAGATGGCTGATTTCTCGAATCCCGCTCGCGGATTTTCTGAGAGGCAATCAGGACTTTTCAAAACGTCGCTTGCTGAATTCTCGATTTCTCAGAGATTCAGCAATATATCTGCAAAAGATAAGAGCGAAAAAAGATTCCACAGGCGGTCTCTCAGAAACTCGCTAACTATGTTCCTGGAATTTGCGAGCGGGATGCGAAATTCCAGCAACGCGTATTTTCCGATGCCCGCCTGCCCCCGGCGATTGTCTGAGCTAGAACCTCACAGATAAGTGCTCCCATCAGATAAGTCCATTCACAGATTTCTTGGATCAGTTAAAGCCCTGTCAGATAAGTCCGGACTGATCCGTAGGTGGACTTATCTGATGGGAGGACTTATCTGCATGATTCATAGCGGTGCGAGGGTGCATTTTCATCGATTTTTCTTGTCAAAAAAGCGGACTTATCTGTAAGATTTTAAGGTACCTCCTTTTTAAATTTACAGTAAAAATCTTCAGAAGAGGCAAGAAATTCTCTATCTCTCAATAATTCTATGTTTCCGCAAAACTGAGAATTCCGTTGTATTAATTATCCTAGATTAATTTTTGGTGTTTTCTGTTAGAACTCTTCATGAGACGTTCTTTTTTTACTCTAGTCAATGTTCTTTTTTTACTCTAGTCAAAATTCTTTCTTAGTCTAGCAAAAAAGGGCTCTTGCTTCCACGTGCCAGCTAAAATCATACGGGTTGGCTTTTTGGAGGATGAAAAGGATAAAGGATCCGGCGCCTACAGTACCTTCTGCGGGTTTGCACCAAACGCATTCTCCTTTGTAGTCGAAGAGGCAATTAAATGCGTGCATGCCTTTACAATCACTTGCGTCAGTGCATTTATCTTCCCAGAGCACTCTAGCATCAATCTGCCGTCCTCAGAGGATAGAGGGCTGGCTGGCCCAGAGGCGATATTGAACTTTGTTCTGACTAGCCATTGCGGTCATACACTACTCTACTCGTCTTTCTTGACTTTTTTGAGACGAGTGTTTTCAAATTCACGTCTAACAACGTACCATGGATAGTATGGCTCAAAAGCACTCCGGATCTTTTTGACACAGGGAAGCATTGGTAAGCATTGAGCTCAAGAAACATTCTATTTGATCTTCATAATACTGAGAAGTTGTTAGTGTTTCCATGGATCACATCACCACCAAGAATGTAGGCAATGTTGCTTATAATGGCGCGTTTGTCGCCACTACCTCTCCTTGCATGCTCAGACAGTCGGTGCCTAGCTCCGTAGGAGAGTCGAAATCTGGCAGAGTCGCGGAGGACCCAATTGACCAATGAGAGCGGGGCGAGGGGGCGGTCCCTTCTTGTAGGTCAGTCACAAGCAGACGTATGGGGCCCTTCTCGGGACGCGCAAATCTCTGCTCCGGAGGTACTCCAGATTTGGGACACTTCCGGAGCACAAAATGGGAGGACTCCAGAGCATAAATGGGAGGGCTCCGGAGCACGAGTGGCAATCCCCTGCTGGGGAAACCCCGCGGCTCGGCCATTTCTGCTCCGGAGGTATGCCGCCGACTGTCTGAGTGCGCTCCATCTACATGTTATCGTCTCTTTTGGGCCTCATAAGAGGTAAATAAACTTTGGGCATAAGTGCTGATATGTCACTTTCGAGTGAAAAGGAATGTGTTAAAGTAAGATTAGTTGGATGGAATGTCGAATACAATTAACCTCATAAGAAAAAGTTTGAAAAATCTTGTAGAGTTTAAAGAACTCTTGATGGAACATGTTGAATAGATGAAAACATGTGTTTTCCCTAAAACGTGGGATTCGATTGGCTTTCCTTTGATTGGGGTTCGACCTATTTTTGGCAGAGCAAAGGATGAGAATCTGTCTTTGAACGGGCTCAATTTACAAAGAAATTTATTTATCTCTTGCACTAATACACTTAAATCTAAAACATCTTTGATGCGAAGATCAGCTCAGAAGATACGCTTTCGTATTTACTGAGCATTTTCCATATCACCACGCTGAAGATGAACTTTGTGTAACTTGTTGCTTTGGCTTCTGTTTCAAAAATTGTTGATAGACTTACGTACCCATTCGGTATCGCAACACTGCTTCAGTCGGCCAGACTCGGCTGTAAGTAATGATAGGAACAACGTTGCTTTCAGATCTGAACACCCATCCTCTATAGGAGGGGGAACAAACTCTGGAATAAGTCTTGCTTCTAACAGCAACATCATCCGTTACATCTTGCCTGTAACCAGTTGCACGCTGATCCTTTTGTGTTTTAATCTCAATGCCAGCCAGATAGCAACCATCAGTGGCAACAGTATCATTATACTTAACTAACACCACTTCAATCCTTCTTCCCTGTGGAGCCTGCGCAAACGCGGTTTACTCTTTTAACAATGGAAGATGACTAGAAACCTGTATCCAATAGTGGCACTTCAAAAAATCATCTGGTGCGTCGCTGGAGTTACTCACTCCTGGATAGCCAATGGTGTCTTCCAAGTGTTCGTAATTTGTGGTAGCTTGCAATATTCTTCCGCACCCACTTGGCTGAAAAACTTTGTTCATATATTCTTTTATCACAGACAATACAGGGTGTCCCAAAAAATGTGCCTACTGTTTGATTGTTAATAACTCTGTTGTAACAAAGTCTTTCGAAAAGCTTTAGGTACCATTTTGTAGAGCGGAGTTAAACTAAGATTTACTGTACGGAACGAATCATCGATCGCTCTTCATTACTGTAGGATTATGGTAAGAACTTCCAGCATATGGAACCATTGTGAAATATACCACCCAATGAAATTTTTTCCAAAAAAATCTGAAAAATTGTGTACTAAGGTTTTCGCGCATGCTAATTCCAGCTAACAACTTTTTACAAGTGTTTTCAGCTTTTTTGACGGTGTAATTACATTTGTGACAAATGCTGGAAACTGACTGATAACGAATTACAGGGGATAACTTTGGAAAGAAGCACCACAGTAAGATGGGAATATCAAATTCGGAAACAGCGGCTCCCATTACCGTAGTATAAGGGTTTTTGGCTTGTTTGGTCTTGTTCCCAGGCAGACTATAGCCTCCAGCGGCCTAAAATCCTTGTCGAAGTTCGTACCGTAATTATACAGTAATGAAGAGCGATCGATGATTCGCTTTATACAGCAAATCTAATTTTTACCTCGCTCTACAAAACGGTACCTAAAGCTTCTTGAAACACTTCATTATAAGAGAGTTATTTACAATCAAACAGTAGGCACATTTTTTTGGGACACCCTATATGTTATCACCCTTTCATCACAAAATGTGCCTCCATATCCGTCAGGGCAAACACACTTCGAGCAATCTTTTGGATTTGGAAAGCCTCCCGTAGAACATTTCACTCTCACTCCAGTTGAGGTAGAGGGAACCGTTGGGGTGACTGTAGTGGTTGTGCTGGTCTTATTTTTTGGAATGGTTGTGCTTGTAGTTGTAATGGTTGTGGTGGTGGTAGGCGTGGTAGTTGTGCTGGTTTTGGTGGGTGTGGTAGTTGTGCTGATTGTGGTCAGCGTGGTAGTTGTGCTTATTCTGCTAATCGTCGAGGTTGTAAAGTTTGAGCTTGTTGTGCTTCTTTCGATAATTTCTCCGGGTGTACTGACTGAGCCTGATTCCCAGTCAATACACCAGCCAAAGGTGCTGGGAATACGTGAGAAAAAACCATAAATACTTGGAAGGTTGTGTCCCAACCAGCCCCAGCCACCCTGTCCGCCAAAGAGCGATGCAAGGAAAGGTGAGCCGCCGAAGAAGGAGCTGCCGAGAGGTGCGTTACCATACGTCTCGCACTCGGCGTGTGAGCTGTTACGACCAGAGAGGCCATCGCAGTAAAAGCGCTCGTTGCAGTGTGAGAGTGAGCTTGATGTTGGGTCGTTGTTGAAAGCTTCGGGGCATTGTGTGGTAGGGCTGTGCCTCACCACCTCGTTCGTTAGAGTCTTGCATTTTTCTTGAAATGTCATTGATGCAAAAAAAGTTTATTCTCGCTAAGTAGGCATGTAAACTCACCAAAGCAGTTGTAGTGCATATTCATCATGAGTTTATCGTAGAACGAAAGAAAATGCGAGCCCAAGGTGTCCACATATCCTGCGTCGAAAGGCACCATTGAACGACGGCCCTTAGCACTCATGTCTTTTGCGAAACTGCAAAAGATATCCTTCATCAGCTTTTAAATTCTGCATAACAAACTGTCTGGAGTTGTAATGCATTATGCTGCCATAATCATAAGGAATGCCGTAATTATGGTTCCTTGACGCATTCTCCTTATTGAATTGTTTGATTGAAGAAGACTAAAGTCGTATAGTGAAATGAAACTCTCTGATCTTTAAGCAAACTACCTCAACAGCACCTATATCGATTAGGATGTACTGGTCGCGATCATGTCTTGAATGTGTGTGGAAAAATCCGAGGGCATGACCAATTTCGTGCAAGGCGACTCCAATCTATATACTTCTTTTGAGACATCAATGTCAGGGTATTCGTAACCGTTTCATTTTCATTGTCATTCAATAAACTCAAGGCGTTACAAAAAATACAACAGTGGTTCAGTCCTGCGCGCACAAAACAAACAGTTCATCCCGCCAGTTAGAGTTCAGCCTCAACCACAACCTATCGAAGAGTAACAACATGCCTTGTATACAACTAGATGGCTTACCCGGCTCCGCCCGGCCCTGTCATTATTTTAATCGTAATCAGCATGCTCGGTTACCCCCTGTACCAACTCCCAGCCCCGTAGCTCAAATTTTGCAAAAAATCGATAAAATTGATATCGATCGATGACGAAAAGTAGCTTATGACACGCTTCCTGCCCCGAAGTGTATGTGTGCCAAGTTTGGTCCAGATCGGTTCAGAAATGGAATTTTCTATTCGGAACATACGTACAGACATACAGACATACAGACAGACAGACAGACAGACATACATACAAACAGACATTCAGCTTTTTATATAAGATACGTGCTATGTAATTTTCTAATGTCAAGCATGTTATAGCCCTATACTGGGACCCATGCCTCCTCGTTTGCCAGAAAAACAAATTAGATAGTACTCTTTGAAAGCAATAGGGAAGTATTAGTGCTGGCGGGTATGATGGCCAGCCTCCCCAAACGGGCTATTCAGGGAGGCCTAAAGACAGCAAAAAAGGCTGCAAATACTGCATAGTACTGAATTAAAGCTGTCCTTGAATTTTAATTATCAGAGGTCAACTTGACTCAATTGGTTACATGAAGAACCGGGTCAGTAGGAATACTAACAACAAATAATTTTGGAAAAAGCTTCAGTCGTCGCCGACAATTTTTACTTAATACAAGATTTTGATTTTTTCCAAGATTTTGTAGGATTTGATGCATTTTGGATTTACCCAATCTTCCAAAAATCATGTGATTTCGGACAAGATACTCCGAAACGATTTTAAAACACGTGAAAAAGATTCTTACTAAACAAGATGTGTCGCCAAGTTTGACTATGTGTCTTACTATACTGTATTATTACATCTGCCCCAATCGCGATCAGGCCGAACCGTTTGCTAGATTAGCGCGCACGCAGCGTCAGTACTTCGCGTTGCATATGCGCGCTGTCGAAGAGGGCGAAGGGCTCCAAGAGCGAGCAGACAAGCAGGCCATAGGCGTGGTGCAAAAGCTCAGCGACGCGGACTCCCGCCATGCCAATTTCGGCCTAATTGGGATTGGGACAGATGTAGTTTGCTGCCTCTTTCTCTGTTTATATCTACAGTTGTTGTTATTGTTACTGTTGTTGGATAAACTTCTAGAATTGGATTGGTACACCGCAAAGGAAGAATTGGTCATTGCAGAGCAATGCAAAAATTGTACCAGTGTCTTAACTTTGACTTGATCACAAATTAGCGTGACATCATGCATCGAGGCCTCGGACAGAGTTTACGCGACTGGATCGTCGCGATTCAATCGCTACAAGACAACTGTTACGAGTTCACTGTATGCCGATCAGCTTGCATTTCGGTTGTGATACTTTTCCAGCTTGAAATTTTTGAATGTAAAATGAAAATGAATGAAAATCGCGGTGATTAAATCGCGACAATCAACTTGCGTGAACTCTATCCGAGGCCTGAACGGTTTTGAGCGGTTTCCCTCTAAAGCTAGAACATGCAGAATTTTTACCGATTCACATCCTGTGCCTAGTGAAAGAGCTTGCACTTTGTGTACATTTCCAATGTATGACCAACAACCGGTATCAATCATCACTTCGATACGTTCCTTTGCTGAGATAAAGATCTTATGTCGTATACAAGTCATCACACATATAGGGTGTCCCAAAAAAGTGTATCCACTGTTTGATTGTTAATAACTCTCTTATTGTGAAGTCTTTCGAGAAGCGGTAAGAGCCATTTTGTAGAGGGCTTCAACTTAGATTTGCGTGCAGAGCGAATCGTCCATCTTTCTACGTTACTGTAGGATTACGTGAGAACTTGAAAGAGGATTTTGGGCCATGAAAGGCCATATTTTGCCTCACAAAGGAATCAAAACAGCCTGAAAACTTTTACACTAGGCCAATTAGAGTTGCTGATTCTAAAGTTCCCAACTGATTATGATGTTTCACTGAAGAGTTATGCAAGGTAAGCAGTAGCGCCCATTTTCTCAATGTTCCTAAAAAATGCGGTTACACCGTTTAGAAAACTTCGCAATCTTGAGAATAAATGAGTATTGAACTCAGCGTTCCTAAAGACCCTATTACACAAGTTTTCACATCTTTTTGAAAATTTTTGAAACGGCAGCTTTTTTCACAGTGACACCATATGTCCCAAGTTTCTACAGTAATCCTACACTAACGTAGAAAGATAGACGATTCGCTCTATACTGCTAATCTAAGTTGAAGCCATCTCTACAAAATGGCGCTTACCGCTTCTCGAAAGACCTAATAAGAGAGTTATTAACAATCAAACAGTGGATACATTTTTTGGGACACCCTGTATGAAGCACCTGCGGGATTCTCTAAGAAGTCAATGCAGGTGTCCCTTTGCCATTCCATTACCCCTTTTTTGAAAATCCTGCGCACTTTATCACCTGAATAAAGTTTATTTTAACTACTGCAGTTGTTGCGAAGCAGCTTACTTGAGTTATCGTGAAAGGAGAAATAGACTTTGCCATCGGTCCATGTTGTGTTGGGATAATTATGATCTCTGAAGGCTTGGCGTTTCCATCGATCACTTCCGATATCGGTTGCAAGCTCCTCCACTTGCCATCTGTGAAATTTATTGACGCTAGGAGGACTCCACATCAAAAATATTATACCTTGTCAGCACAATGTCACTCTGATACAAAAGCAGTCCTATTCCTTCTTCTTCATTAATAGTCTCGATATCTCTAAACATCACCTCGTGCACATCAACGAACCTCTGCCAGAAACAACGCTTTTTTGAATAGTTAAGTCAGGTGACACTGCACAATGACTCCTACTCTTTCTAAGCTCTCCATTATAGACTGTCGTTGTGGACTAAGTTCGAGACTTTTCACTATCCTATCTTCTTGTGCACAAAGCGTTTCGTGCATGTGAAGTAAATCAGCTTTGTTCAAAACCGTCTAAATGTTTTGGATATGTTGGCGTGGTTTTGGTTTTCTCGTACCGTATTAACATGACTCAAAGCTCTGCGAAACTTGAACTCATCGATAATGCTGGCTCTGACGACGTTGATGACTGCAGGATATATGTAAAGGAGAAAGGAGCACCTCATTTTGGAAGCATAAGAACAAATGAAGGCAGTCTGTTCGCAATCAATGCCTTATACTACTTGCCCTTATGACACGATATCCCACATCTGTAATTACATTAGTCTGAACAAAGCAACAGTCGCTCCATTTTATAGCCCAAACTGATTTCAGCTCGTATAAGCTCGGGAAACATTAGAACGTCAAATGCATCGGAGACACACATGAACTATAAGACTGAGAGCTTTCTTGAAACAATCAATAGCAGAATATAGTGAACAGCGATCTCAACAATAACTTACCTCAAGATTTTGCCCTATGCACCTGAACAAATTGGTCCATACAACTGTTTGCAGATTGCGAAAATTTGCTCAGACTAATGTAATTACAGATGTGTGATATCGTGTAGTAAGGGCAAGTAGTATAAGGCATTGATTGCGAGCAGACTGCCTTCATTTGTTTTTATGCCCGCTCAGCGAATAAGAACAACGATACATGCTCAGCCAGGGATTATATTCTGTCTCCTATGAATCTAGTGAAAATTTTTCAAACGTGTTCTGGCTAACGTAGAAAATTGACAAAAGCTGAAAACCAAAGCAGAGGCCTCTGCCTCAGACGGTTAACTATCATTTTGAATAGAACTACTTCTGGTTATACAACTTTCACTGCGTCTTCAGGCGTTATATTGACTTCACGTAATATTCTGAGGGAATTACAAAAAAAGGTTTACGATATGATAAACAGCACACTAAAAAGTATGGATCGCTCAAAAGTTACTCAATGAACTGCTTTCGAGTATCTGTTTACTATCCTATTTGCTCTGCGAATCCGCGCCTTCGTGCTCCTACCCTTCATGACAGTTAAAAAAATTATCACAAATGGACTCTTCATCAGAAACAAATCGTGAATAAAGTTTGGTGAAACGGAAGCACAAAGACAAGATTCACGCATAGGAAAACGTACGAAGTTTTCATAGTGCTGAATGTATAACTTTCGATTTCTCAGCCAACTCACTACGAACGCTAATTCTACTAGTAGTTAAACATTGAAGTATTAGGTTGTTGCAAAAATAATGTTTTACAAAATTCTGCTTTAAAAAGCTGTAACTTTGTCTAGTCTTTATATTTCTGAATGCAGTCAAGACCATCGGAAGAAGCAAACATTTTATAATTTAGCGCGCACCTGCTAATACCAATTTCGCAAACGGAAAGAAAACTATGCGTTAAGAATCAAAAGTTTTTTCTTCGAAAACGTCGTCTTGAGAGATCACGACTCCCCTCAAGTTTTGTTCCTATGACTGCAAATCAGCTAGTTTTGTAGAGCAAGCCAATAGTATACCTTTGTATAGAAAAGATTTTAACGAAGGAGTTTTGCGAAGAGAAAAGATGTGTCGCGTTTCGCGATGCAAGTCGCTCCTCGAAGTACGGAGGCCGGGGGCATCGGTTACCGC